AACCAAAAAAAAAAAAAAAAAAAAAAAATCAGTCAAGTGTGGTGGCATGCACCGGTGATCCCGGCTACTTGGAAGACTGAGGCAGAAGAATCGCCTAAGCCCAGCAAGTAGAGGCTACAATGGTTGTGAGTATGCCACTGCACTCCAGCCTGGATGACAGAGTGAGACCCTGACTCAAAAAAGAAAAGAAAAGGAAAGAAAAACTGCCTGGCGGTGGTGGGGGGGATTGGCAGTAGTGGGAATCTGCTGGGGGGGGATCAACAAGGGTACCTGCATAATGAACATTTGTATACCTAACCCTGAATTGTACCCCACATCTTTTTTTTTTTGAGTTGGAGTTTCACTCTGTCGCCCAGACTGGAGTGCAGTGGCCGCTCCCAGCCACCGCAGCCTCGACCTGCTGGGCTCCGGCGATCCTTCCGCCTCAGCCTTCCGAGTAGCCAGAATTACAGGCATGCGCTACCATGCCCGGCTGATTTTTTGATTTATTGTAGAGATGAGGTCTTGCTGCCCAGGTGGGTCTCAAACCCGCGGGCTGAGGCAATCCACTCACCTCAGCCTCCCAAAGGCGCAGGATTACAGGTTGAGCCACCGAGCCCGGCTTGTACCCCACATCTTTAAAATTAAAAAGCAAAGAAATGAAAAGAAAAGGTCCAAGATTCATGGGCTTCAGTCACCTGGGAGATGAAAAGATGAGGCCCATTGACCACACAGCTGAGTCGGAAGCCGTAGCCACCGCCAGGCCCAGGGTACAGGAGGCACTGGCGGGAACCAAGAGGGACAGGAGGCATGGCTGTGTCTGCAGGTGGTGGGTCCTTGGTCTCAACCAGAGAGGCTGAGAGGGGGTCCTGGGAAGAGCCAGAAGCCTCTGTGCTCTCCAAGAAGAGGAGCGGGGAGAGGCGAACCTGGAGGGGGGAAGCAGAGCAAACCTGTTGTGTCTGACCCCTGCTCACCTCCTGCCCCCATCCCAGCCCCTGCCCCTCAGCACCCACCATGTTGAAGAAGCGGTCAGCTTTGGGGTCCACAACAACGAGGGAGAGACAGGAGCCGTGCGCCCGGATCCTGGACACTGTCTCCACATGGCCCAGCCCCTCCACGCTCTCTCCAGCCACCGCCACCAGCCGGTCCCCGTCCTGCATCCCGGCCTTCTCGGCTGGCAGGCCTGGATCCACCTCCCACAGGAACTGCCCTGGGACATAGACATCCTCACTGCACCTCCCCGTCTTACCCCCAGTGCTATCCCAGGCCACCGTGTGCACACCGGGGGACTGACCCCAGGGTACACAGAAGGAGGAGGCCCAGGGCCAGGGTTCAGGCTGGGTTTCCTCCCAAGTGCCCTGAGAGGTGTGTATACACTTGTGTGCCCATCCCAACCTGCCTTCCCTCCCCATCCCCAGGGCTCCCACTCACCAGTGCGACCGTCAAAACCCTTCTCCTCCCGGAGCAGGAACCCGAAGCCCTGGGGCCCTTTCTCTAGATGCAGACAGCGGGGCTTGGTGGGCAGGGCCCAGCCCTCCGCCAGGGGTGCAGCCAGGGGCATTCCCAGCTGGCGACACTGTTCCTCCACCTCTGGCCCTGCCACCAGCAAGGTCACCTGCTTTCCACTCTGCCAAAGCTGTGGGGACCCAGCGGGACATAGTATCAACCACCTAGGCAGAGAGGGAAGAGGCAGGCACCTCCTCACAGCCCCTCCTCCCAGGCGAGAGAATGAGGCACCAAGGGGGACACAAACTGTAGAGGGAAGGATGGTGACAGAGGTAAGAGGTCAGGTCCGGAGATTAGGCAAGCGGGAAAGAAGCCTGCTTCCTGAGGTGGGGTCCCAGGCCCAGACAGGCAAGGGTGAGTGGGAAAACAGGCAGCGCTACCTTCCTGGTGAGTTGGCTATGTGTGAACTTATCCACACCGACCCCATTCACTTCCAGCAGTCGGGCCCCAGGAGGGACCCCTGCCCGCTCAGCTGCTCCTCCAGTGCTTATCATCAACCAGAAAAGACCTGAATTGCCTGGAAGAAAAGAAAAAAAACAAAGCAAGTTCCAATCTGCTGCCTGCACAGAACAGGGGCTGAGCTCTTCCCTCCTGGCCACTCCCTCCTACCCTCTAAGCTCACCGTGGGTAACACTGAAGCCAAAGCCACCCTCATCTTTCACTACGTGGCACAGCCGGGGCCGGACCCCTGGGCCCAGGGTAGGACAGAGGTGGGCACCATCCCCCTGCCGAGCTCGAGCCACATCATGCACATGCCGCGCCAAGACCGTCAGCAACACCCGAGGACTGCTGGCCCTGATGTGGCGTACCACCTAAACAGAGAACACGTGAGGTGGTTTGGGCTGGCCCCTCTTGCCAACTGCAGGACCTCCCCGGAACGTGCGTTTTTTTGCCATGGGAACCAGCTCTCTAGATGACTTCCTCTAGCCCTTCTGAACTGGCACTCCTAAATCTTGGGGTTCAGAGGAAGTGGAGCTTGTGCCTTGCCGCCACAATGCCCAGAGAGGTGACCAACCCGCCTCTCTCCCTGAGGAGCAATGAATACTTTCCTGTACCGCAAGGAGTCCCAGTTCAGCCTTACCACGACATAGTCTTCATGTTCCACGATGTTGTTGTTCACCCCCAGGATCCGGTCTCCTTCCTGGAGACCCTGGAGATGGGCAGAGGTGCCCGGCTCCACCCTGCACACCACATGACCAGCCCTGCCTGGCTCCTGCTGCAGGTGGAAGCCAAAAGTCTTGCCCTCCTCTTTACTCAGCAGACAGAATCGAGGCCGCTCTAGGCTCCAGGGATCTGGAGGGGGAGGTGGGCAGCAGAAAAGGGGGAGGAGAGAGAGATGGCCCAAGTACAGGTCCACTTGTGCCTGGCAGACTCTGCGGCCTGAGAGGGCACTGGGCAGCTTCCACCCAGTTAGGTATTGGGCAGTAGGGTGAACACTGCACGGGCAGAGGTGCTGAGACAGAAGGAAACACTCAGCCCCTCTGGTCTCTGCAGTTACTCCCAACCAAGGCTGTTTTTCAGAGGGAGATCGAGAGAGTGGTTGCCAAGGAGATGGGAGGCTGTGTGGAGCTGTGTCGTCTCCAGGGAAAGGGAAAGGTTGCCATGGGGCGAGGGAGTTACCAGAGGGGTCGTGGTCTTCGGCCAGGGAGAGGACAGGATTATCAATGCCCAGCTTTGGGTTAAACTTAAACTTCCTGCAGGGAGGCAGGGGAGGCAGGTAGAAGCTGGCAGCTTGGTTTGGGTCCCGGGCTCCACTTGAGGTGCCAATGGCAGCAAAGAACCTCCCCACCTTTAGTACCTTCCTCCCCTTGTGCCAGCCCTCGTGGTACTTACAGAGTTAAGGAGGCTGTGTCCGGAAGATCTACTGGGCAAAGAAGTGGGTGAGAGGAGGGGCACGTTCTTCCCCCAGATGCCTGTTCCATGGTCATAAACTGAAAGGACTTGGGGGAGCCCCCGAAGTCAGGATTTGCCCCCTCTGTTCTGCTCCAAAGAAGTCTTTCCTTCTCACTGACACACACAGGAATATTGTGTGTTCCTCTCCCTCCTCCCAGGTCCTTGGCAGATAAATCTGAGCATATCAGTACAGGGTGTGGACCAGGAAGACAGACCTATCAACTCACTTTTCTCCTAACTTCAATTTACCTCCAGGCGCCAAGCTCCAACAAGTGTGCCCTGGTCCCAAAAATTCAGCCTTCAAATCTGCCCCCTGACTGCCCCAAAGCCCCCTCTAAAGAATTTCTCCCAGCCTCCTACCTGCAGCTCCTTCCATAGCTGGATCAGCGACCCAGTGCTCAGAATAGGGACAAGGTCCATTCCAACAAGTTAACCCTCCCACCTGCCCCCTCCCAAGTCCCGCCTCCTTGAAGACACTGCCTTAGAAGCAATGTGGTAATGGTTAACAGGAATGAGAGTCTTATTCTCTGGAGAAATGTGTGGGTTGCTCCTGGCTCCCACTGCTGGACCCCAACTTTGTCTAGAGACCCTGATGCCGACCCAGTTGTCCCCCTGCACAGAGAAAGGCAGATTGCTGGCCACTGTAATTCCAAGCCTGGGGAGTAAGTATGAAAAGGGTGGTAGCAGTCCCACGGTCCAGCATGGCCAAGCCACATCCCAATATCTTGGTCATGGGCTCTCCCAGCCCCCCACTGTCTTTGTGCCTAGTACCCAAGAACCATGTGTGGCAGAATGTAGTCAGTAATTTAACTAGAATGACGAAGAACAAGTGTCCTTTTTTGGAAGCAACAGGCAAGGAAGAAGAGGCCACATTAGGTGGAAGACATATAGCTTTTTAATAGCAAGTCGGGTGCATCTGCCCCTAGGGGCCATCGGTACCACTGTGGTAAAACGGGCATGGGGCTGGGGGAAGCACCAATGTGAAGGCATCCTCAGTGTCCACAGGTGAGCATAAGGCAGGAATGGAAGGCCTCCAAAACATCAAGTGGATGGTGACACCCTGGCATGTGTGTGCCCCTTGGTGGTGCAATCAGAAGCTCCTTGAGAGGAGGGAGACATAAGGATGATGGTAGTATTACAGGGCAATTGGATTGCCCAAAGGCCACATCCTTTGGTCCTCATAGCAGAAGAGAAAAGAGGCACGTTGTATCTCCAAGCCTGAGGCATCAATTCACCATCTTTGACCCTGGAAATTCCAGATTTGGTCCTGGTTGAAATGTCCCATTCCTTTGCCTCGAGCCCTGAAGCGATCTTTCTAGAAGGAGCAGTGCAAGCCAGTAGGCCACAGAGGGGAGGGATTTGGGGCCAGTGGGCAAAGAGCTAGGTGCCTGCTACCACTGTTTTAGCTTCCAGAGCCTCCCAGTTGCTCCAGGAGGGCCTTGACCTCACCCTCCACTCGAAGAAGCTGGGCCTTGCGCCAAGGATTGAGGGTGTCAGCCCGGCTATCTTCCAGATCCCGCAGCAGTAGCTCAAGGTGGCGCTGGACCCGGGCCCGATCCCAGCTGTTGAGGTTCCGCTGAACTTCACTGAGGATCACCGACCAGTAGTCGGACACCGACGCACCCTCTGTAAGCGATGTCACGACCCGGGCACCGCCTTCAGCAGCACCCCCTAAGTCCCGCAGAACCTGGCGGCCCTCTGAGCTCAGCTCATTGAAGTAGAGGCTAGCAGGAGAGAGAAAGTAGATACCATTCAGCAGGCCCCTGAGAAGGAAGACCCGAGGATGCATGAACCGAAAGTCAGGGGGCTCCCAACTCATCTCCCGACTGTAGAATGCGATGGGGTGTCTGTAATGAGCCAGAGGTGGAGAGAGGTGGCCAATGCGAGGTAGGGACTGGCACTAGAATTCAATGGTACCAGGAACAGTAGGCCCTTAGGAGAAATGGTGGCAGGGAATCAGGGTAGGGTAAGAGCCAGTCACAGAAGGGGTGGGTTGGCTCAGAACTAGGCTGACAAGGATCAGTCACAAGCCAGGAGTAGAGGACAGGCATCAGGCCTAGGCCCAGAAGCACTCTCTTGGGTGGGAAGAGCACAGCAGAGAGGAAAGGAGACCGAAGGGCTAGGGGCAATGGGACAAGGGACAGGACTCACTGCAGCAGTTCCAGGGAAGGGTGTTCCCGGGCAGCCCTGGCCAGGGCCAGGGCCGCTGTGTCACCAGCACCATTGTAGGCCACATTCAGCTCCTGTAGCTGCTGATTGCGGTCCAGTTGGGCAGCCAGCAGCTCCAGGCCCTCGTCCCCAAGGCCCGTGTGCAGCAGAGACAAGTGTGTCAGCGAGGTGTTTCGCGCCAGCCCCTCCATGAGCAGGGCCACACCTGTTGCCGTCAGCGGGTTGTTGGACAGCCTACAACACAAGCAACCCGAGGTTATCAGGACCCATTGCAGATGCCCTGTGCTAGGTGTCAGGACTTGGGCCCGCCAAAAGGGTATAACCTGGGGCAGAGAGGAGCCTGGACGCAGACAGGCAGGCGACTTCGGTCGTCTCGCTCCCCTTCCTCACCTTTACAATTTTCCCTCTTCCTCCTTTTTTCACCCTCTCCCCAGCCTCTGCTTCTCCATCCACTTTTGCGAACCCATCCTTCTCCCACTTCTTCTTCTCTCACTCCTCATTCACCTCCCCTTACTTCAATCCAAAATGGGAACCCAGGCATCTGGGTTGCTGGCACATCAGTCAACACTCAGGGAGCATCTACTGAGTGCCCAGCACTAGGGTTATCCTTGTGAAGCTGCAGGGAAAATCCTGGAAAGATCAGTGGCACTGTTACCAGGCAACTGGCAGTATTACTTCACCCTTCTCTCCTCCCCCTCCACTCCAGGCTGATTTTAGCCACAGAGAGAGGCTTCCTTAGCACCTATGAGTGGTGGCATCCTGGAGGTGGAGGCAAAGCAGGGCCTGAACTACCTCCTGCCCCGCTTTACTACCCACGTGTAGGCCTATGCCAGGTATGCTGTGAGGCTTGAGCTTGACCTTAGCTGGCCACCAGGATGGCCAGAGCCTCCCTCCAGCCCCCTCCAAGCACACTCACCGCAGAGTGGTGATTTGGCACTGGTCATGCAGCAGCAAGTCTCGGAGGTCCCTGCAGGCCTCAGGGCCCAGGCTGTTAAGTTGCAAGCTGGAGCAGAAGGTGGTAGGGGGGAGGTAAGAGACTGGAAGTTCAGCATGGAGTCTGCCCATCTTCTATGCCCTTTTCTCATCATCCTGCCTCTTATAATCCACACCTTCCCTCCTTTTTGTTTTTTGGGTTTTTTTGAGTTGGACTCTCTGTCGCCCAGGCTGGAGTGCAGTGGCACTCTAATGGTCACTGCAGCCTCAACCTGCTGGGCTCAGGTGATCCTTTCCTCCTCAGCCTTCCAAGTAGCTGGAACTACAGTCATGCCCCACCATGCCCAGCTAATTTTTTAAAAATTTATTGTTGAAGGCCGGGCTCAGCCTGTAAACCCAGTGCTTTGGGAGGCCGAGGTGAGTGGATTGCCTGAGTCGGCGGGTTTGAAACCCGCCTGGGCAACTTGGCGAGATCTCATCTCTACAATAAATCAAAAATCAGCCAGGTG